TGAACCGCATTCTGCAACAATATCTTAGATGTTTTGTGGCTGACTTCCCAAAGAGATGGTCAATGGTATTACATTGGGCAGAATTTTGTTATAATACTACTTATCATTGTTCAGCTGGAATGTCTCCCTTCAAGGCTGTTTTTGGGCGTGACCCTCCTACTATTTTGGATTATGTCCCTTCAACCACATCCCCCATAGAAGTGGAGCAACTTTTATTAGATAGACAAATCATTCTGCAAGAGTTGAAAGCTAATTTGCAGAAAGCACAAGAGTCTATGAAACAGAGGGTGGATCAACACCGAAGAGATGTGCAGTACAAGATAGGTGACTTTGTTTGGGTGCAGTTACAGCCATATAGACAGATATCACTTGCTCACAGGTCATCTAATAAGCTAGCCAGGAGATATTTTGGGCCTTTTGAAATTTTGAAAAGAGTGGGAGCAGTGGCATACATGTTGAAATTGCCCTCACATGCCAAAATCCACCATACTTTTCATGTCTCTTTACTGAAACCTTTTTTTGGGGACAGTACCATACAATCCTTGCCTCTACCCGATACAGTCCGTGGAGGATTACCGGTGATGGAACCCAAGCAAATCCTAGCTACCCGTGTGGAGCAGCTCGAAGATAAACAAGTGCAGTGGGTACAAGTCCTGTGGGATGGCATGCCGACTGATGTATCCACATGGGAACCTTGGGAGGATTTTCAGGTCCAATACCCTTCTTTCAACCTTGAGGACAAGGTTAGTTTTAATGGGGGAGGTGTTGATATGAGCCCAAGCCCAACAACCAACACCACAAGCCCAATAACCGACACAGCAACTCTCAGTGAGACAAGTCCATACACGTGTGTAGAAGAAACAGTGGATCGAGTGATATCAACCACAAACCACTCACATGAAGAGGAAAGCAAGGTTGAGCAAATACAAGCTCAGCAAAAGAGCCCAATGGAGACGATGGAAGGAGACATGCCAGGGAGATCTAGAAGGAGACCGAGAAGACTAGATGGGGAGAACTATATATGGTAGGAGCAAGGTTACTATAGCAGTAACCATGATTAGTATTCTGTTATGTAAATCAAAGAGTAGCGTATGGGTTAGTTAGAGCAATTCGGTTAGCTGGATTATGATTGTATAAATAGGTAGTTGAATGTGAAGAGAATCATCTGAATTGTAATCGTCATTGTTTGAATAAGAATTCTTTTTTCTCATCTCTCTTCTTGTTCTGTTTTATCAGTAGGTCAATCTTATCAGATTCCCACCATTAAATTTTTAGAGAGGGTTCCTACCAAATATAACTTCGTAGAGGGATAAGAAGTTTAACTGTGACTATAAAAGCGCCTCAAAAAGATAATTTGGATCAATATAGCAAATAAAAAGAAAAGAAAAATGGCTTCTCATGCTAGCCTGCTAGGTAGATTAACCAACTGATTACAGAAAATTACTTTGATCGCCGAGTTTGTTTGGCGCACAACATGAACCAAAAAAAAATATTTTTAAAATGATTGACACTATTATATTACAATATCCTTCATTTGGTTCACGAGAGCTTTATATATAACTTTATCATATATAACCTAATATTATATATAATTTTTTTTTCATTAAAAATATACAAATAATTTTTTAATAAATAATTAAAATTAAAATTTTCAATTTCGTAATTATAGTTAATAATTAAAGATACGCATTTCTTTGGCACAAATTTAGATATGATTTACTATATTTACATGAAATCTTAATATGATACTACTTTATTATTTCTTTTATTGTATCCGAATTTATAGATATTTAATTAAAATCACTAAGAATTATTACGATTTATGATTTTTTTACTATAATAATAATATAATTAGACATTTATCCGTCTATTCTTTTTACTGCTTATTTTGTTCTCAAACAATTCAAAATAGAGTTACACTGTCAATGTGGATTATTAGAATAATAATTAACCACGCTTCCATATGAAAATTAGTTATATTTATACATTTTTTTGGGTAGGTTTTTTTTTTTTTTGTAAATAAGGTTTTTTATGCATATATTATACATATTCCACGTTGTGCTGCCAATTTGCCAACATTAATCATTCGCTTTAAAGAGGTAGCCATTACAACAATCAATTCGTAAAATAGAACAGAATGCTCCATAAACCTTTGGCTATCTCTGTAACTTCGGAAGTTTTCATGGCAAGATTCCCATTTATTACTCTTAGGCGTGTAAATGGCCAAGTTAGGTCAGACTTTATTCTTAATAACTTGAATTTACATAAAATATTTTGATCCTATCCTGATTTATTGGTCTATTAAAAACTTGATTTATAGTCTAAGTCTAACCTATTGGAAAGAAATAAAAAATCTAACATGGCCTATGAAGGCCTATCAAATTGCAAACTAAACTAAAATAAAAAGGATAAAATGTCTCATTCATTAAACAGAAAAATATTTCTGCAGTTAATGCAGATAAGTTATCTGTATTTATTTCCAAAACGACGTCGTTTTAGGATTGAAATATTAAAAAATTATAATTATAAAGACTATAATAACCCTGAAATAAATTAAAATTATAAAAATACCATGATTTCCGCCCCAAAACGACATCGTATTAGACTTATTGCAGATAACTTATCTGCAGTAACTGCAAAAAAAACGAACTCTTCTTTAAATAATATTTCTAACAAGAATACAAAGATTCTTAAATAATGTTCATAAAAAACACTTGAACCACACTCTTTTCAGAGTGAGAGACAAGAGCGTGAAGCGGTGGATAAGAGAAAAAGAATTAGGTAAACCAAAAAAAAAAAAAGAGAAAAATAATTAGGGTTAGGACAAGTGAATAATATATATGATAAATATAGTATTTTATATTAAAAATTAAAAAAACTGGCTTGTAGACTTTTAGGTCAAACTTTTCAGAGTTGGCTTATGGCCTAGTTTTTAAATAGGCTTTCCCAAGAGCCTTAATATGTTCTAATTTTGAAATAGGTCAAGCCTAATATAGGCTCAAATATAAGGTTTTTTTGGCCAATCTAACTCATTTATACCCTATTCTTAATGCTTGTTTTTAAACTTATAGCCGTTTGGTAATTTTACTCTAGTCGGAAAACGTTTTGTTTGTTTTACTAATAAATGAGTTCTTATAACAAAAAATAATTACTATCTATTGTTAATTTGTTATATATTCCTTTGTTTTATTATTATCCATCATGATTTCAAGAGTGGATCTTTTTATATTTTATTTTTATATGATTATATAATCTGAAAGATCTCTGTTATTTATTCACAAATCAACACTCATCAATTAATATAATTTTTATATATATGACACATTGTGATATTAAAACAAAATATAAGATGATCCATTCCTATAATTCTGAGAATAAATTTGAAAATTCTGATTGACCATTGACATTTCATTCTCTACATGTTTGTCTAGTGTCTCCCATCGCAGCTCTTCTTAATTTATTTCTAATAACGAAAACAATAATAATAAAAATATGAATGGGTTTTACAAACTACCCCTTCCATCACCTCCTGCAGTGGAATTCGTTTCGGACGAAGGCAAGGTCAGTGTCTCTTTCAAACCTTTCTCGCTGTGATTGTTAGAGCGTTTGGTTGAGGAGAAATTTTTTGAATATTAGGGAAATAGTAAGAAAATGAGATAAAGTGAAATAATTAAGAAAATGTTAAAAAAAGTAGTTTGGTGGGAAAAAACTTTACTAGAAAAATTAAGTAACTTTTAGAAAATGTATGTTTGGTTGGAGGTAATATATAGTAAAAAATTTGAGTGAACATTGAGATTACCTAGCTTTTTAACAAAAATCCACCTCTTAGAACACTTTCTCAACAGTAAATAAACCTATCATTCCGTTCCAAAATCTAAAAATCCATGCAAATTGGATGAATAACTTTCTCACTAAATCACCCTAAACCAAACATCTCATTTCAAGAATCCTTCTTACATTTGCATATGTTTCTTTAAAAAGTGGCGAGCCAAACATATCTTTAATGTCATTTTATTCTCTTATTATCTACTCTTATTAGTTTGTATTTTGGCTATGCATTCCATGTTCCATTCTAGTTAATAAGTTGGTTGTGTTTGCTAGTTATTTTATGAGTGGGTGGTGTTCATATAAATTAAGACCATTTAATTGTCACTTTTCCTTGTTTTGCTTATTAGTTTTCTGGGAAGTTCCTAAAACTTGAATGTATTAGTTAAAACAACAATATAGCCTATGAACATAAGTATAAACATCTTGAAAGAAAATCAAAACCGCAAAATGTGTCTATCATTCAAAATTTTCTTCACAACTTTATTTGAAGTTCCAAAAATCCATGTAAAATAAATGATAACTTAGATATTATAAAAGCCACATCCAAGACCCACACAACTTGGCCTCCATAAACACACCAATGCTATTTATTTGGTGTACAAATCCTTATTATCTCTGGGGTGAAAGAATTGAATTTAGGGAAAACTTCACCAATGTCGTGTGGTTTGTTTCAGAATCATTTATGTCTCTGTGATTTTTTTGTATCACATATGCCCCTGTGCTTTGTAAAAAATAAAAAACCACATGAGTATATGTGATAAAAATCATACCCTTTTGCAAACCATATGGGCATATGTGATAGAGAAAAAAAATCACAGGAGCATAGGTGATTCTGAAACAAACCACCGAAACATTGATGAACTTTTTCTTTGAATTTAATGATTCAAATATATATATATATATATATATATGTATATTATATATATATATATATATATATATATATCACCATTACTAATTTGCCTGCATTCCGGAGGCTCAATCGAAACTTGTAAGGATAGTAAGAGAGCCAATTTATTTCAAAGAGATAATTAGAATTGAGTTAATTTAAAATATATTGCGCGCGAGCCATTTTACAATTTTTTTATTATAATAGACAAAATAATAATAATTATAATAATAAAAGAGAGGATAAGAAAAATGAGAGACAATAAGAAAAGTGAGATCTAGTAGAGTGAACAGAGAGGACTTGGTTCCAAATGTTGTTTCAAAGCGTGGACCTGAAGCCAAGAGATGTTGGGTTCAGGTTTTGGTCATATTTGAAAGCTTTTTGAGTTACTGTGTTGACAATTAATTAATTCACCGGTATCGCCGTAAGACAATGGCGACGGCGGGGTTGTACCGACGCCTTCTTTCTTGTCCCCCTGCTGTTGAATTTGCTTCCTCTCAAGGCAAGGTTTGTAAATTGTTAAGTGGGTGTGTTTTTTTTTTTTTTTTTTTATCAATGAATGAGTGAACGAATGATGATAATGCATTTTACTTTGTCTGAGGTTAAGGAGAAGGTAGTGTATGGTATTCAATTCAATATTTATGATGTGGAATTGTTCTTATTTGGTGTTTTGGTTGAATGTCAGCAACTTTTTCTTGAAGCCATTCAAAATGGAAACATGGAAGGCTTTTATAGGTTGGTTTCGTATTTTCAAACACAATCGGAGCCTGCCTTTTGTGGCCTCGCGAGCTTGTCCATGGTCCTCAATGCTCTTGCCATTGATCCTGGCAGGAAATGGAAAGGTATGGCCACAATTTTGTGTTTGCTTGTGTATATATATATATATATATATATATATATATACACTGGTGTGCTCAATCATAATTTCCCCAAGCCGTTCATTCATTTCAATTGATATTTTTATTAATGATTTAATGATGCTGAACCCCTTGTTTTTTTTAATAAAAGTATTTGTGCATTATAAGACCAAGTTATAGCTATTAGCTACTTATTTGATCTGAAGGCAACAAAATCCATTTATATATTGTTTCTTTCCCCTATTCCCCTCCAAGATTCTCCATTGCTAGCATTTTGATGTTTTCTTGTAAAGGGGCTGCTATTATTGAATAGCATATATAATATCTGGTCTGCAACAAAAATGATTTTATATATTGTGAGCTTTTAAAATCTCATGGATTGCAAATTTGTAGTTACAGTTGAAATGATTCAGTCAAATTAATGTGGTTTTCTGCTTCCATTGTAAGATGTATTTTCCTTTGGGTAATTTATCTACATTCTACAGGACCTTGGAGATGGTTTGATGAATCTATGTTGGACTGTTGCGAACCTCTCGAAGAGGTCAAGGCTAGAGGCATATCATTTGGGAAACTTGTATGTTTGGCTCATTGTGCTGGAGCAAAAGTTGAAGCCTTTCATGCAAGCCATAGCAGCATTGATGATTTTCGTAGATATGTCATGAAGTGTTCAACTTCTGATGAGTGTCACGTAATCTCATCATACCACAGAGCTGCTCTCGAACAAGTATGTATTATGATTTATGGAGCTTGACTTAATATGAAATACCAAAACATTCAAGCTTTGATCATGATTTTTTACCACCATGCAAGCTAATTGGTTCATATAGTTCTTCATTATTGAATCTTTTTCTCCCTAAAACATTTATTTTGGTAGGCAATATCAGTGCATATATATGATTCTTGAAAAACTGGTGAGAATGTTTACTTTATCTTCATGACAGTCAGGAACAGGTCACTTTTCTCCGATCGGAGGCTATCATGTTGCAAAGGACATGGCACTTATTTTGGATGTTGCACGTTTTAAGTATCCTCCCCATTGGGTCCCACTCACACTTCTTTGGGAAGGCATGAATTATGTTGATGAATCCACTGGACAATCCAGAGGGTAAACTTTCTTGTATAAATTTTATACTATTTTCCAACGACCTTGTAGTCTAGTTAATCCTACTCTTAGAATGATAGTGAAGATTGAGATCAACAAATGCAAAATCCTTTTGCCCAAGGGTTGGTGCTAAAAACAAAAAGAACTGATTATTTTTTGCATGAGAAACTATATATCTATGACTGGACCTATCCAATTTAAGCAATAAGAAAACTTTATGGTTTCTGTTTTCGTTACATGGTTTAAATATTGTTTGTTTGTCTTTTTATGTTAATTGTATGCGTAATTTTGCTAATTATCCTCTTCAGGTTCATGCTTATATCAAGGCCTCACAGAGAACCAGGCATGCTTTATACTCTGGTATTTTTCTTTCCTTTATATAGTGAGTCATAATTTGACACTTCAACATACAGTAAATAAAATCAGTGTGGGTGTTAGATTATTGGATAATTTCTTTACGTGTTGTCCGCATAGGCTGAGGGACCCCTTCAATGTTATTGTGGATTATACCTCTCAGTTTGTGATACAATGAACTTGTTCTTAGGAGCATGTTGGTTTATTTCTAGTTTGTGTGATCTTCTGGTGAGCAATTACCTTTAATTTGAAGTGAACAGTGAATCAGTGATTTCTATTTCTGGACAGAGGATAAAACATTTTCCTTTTTTTTAATATTTATGAATTTGTTAGTTTCCCTCTTCAAAAAATATGGGGAAATTGTGGTCAGGAGGAGATACCTTGTTCATCATCATATTCCTAAGATTACAATGTTTTCTTTGCAAACATCCATTCAGATACTTTCTTTTGTGACATTATTTTACTATCAGTTTAAATGGAGATGCTAATAAGGATTTTAAAAAAAGTTGAAGTTTGATTGGATATGCTGTATGCGGCAAGTTCATTTGGAAGGTCATTTTGCACTTTGTAGTTTGGACCATGTGTGATATTGAACATGTATCTTTCTCATGCAGTCCCCTTCTTCGATTTGAATGTGAATGTAAAAATTGTGTGTGCGTGTGTTTGCAGCATGCCGTGCTTGTGTTTTTTATTGTTCACATTGGTGTGTGTTGGATGAATCACGTACTTCTGCTGATCTTGCAGAGCTGCAAACATGAGAGTTGGATTAGTATTGCAAAATTCCTAATGGATGATGTTCCTGTTCTATTAAAATCAGAGGATGTGAAAGATGTTCATAAGGTTCTTTCAGTTATAGTCACATCCCTTCCATCTAATTTTGAAGAATTCATCAAGTGGGTTGCAGAGATCAGGAGGCGAGAGGATGGTGGTCCAAGTTTAAGTGCAGAGGAGAAAGCAAGGCTAGCTGTCAAGGTTTAATTTTATGTTTCATCTCAACTTGTCATAATTCTCTCCAGCATTGTATAACCTAGTGCAATTTTATTCATTTTACTCTTGAATAATCTCACGTGGTAACTTTTTTGCTATGCAGGAAGAGGTATTGAAACAAGTGCAGGAGACAGTGCTTTTCAAACATGTGACCTCCTTTTTGTCAAATTCTTGTGGCAGGCAAAAACCAATTTCGGGTGATGGAGACACCTTACCTGTCGTTGCTGCAAGTGTTTGTTGCCAAGGAGCAGAAATTTTAGGTGGGAAACTCGGCTCATCGGAAGGCTATTGCTGTCGAGAAACATGCACGAAATGCTGGAAAGCTGAAGATGACAAACCAATAACAATGGTTTGTGGGACTGTGGTAAATGGTAACAGTGAGCAAGGGGTTGATGTGCTGATTCCTTCATCATCTGGGAGATTATGTTGCAGTTGCTCTAGCCCAAGTAAGTACATTAGGATGCACCCAGCTAGCACTGATGTGCTAACAGTGCTTCTATTGTCCTTACCATCTACAACATGGGCTGGCATCACAGATGAGCAGCTTTTGAGTGAAATACATGACCTTGTTTCAATTGAAAATCTTCCTACTTTGCTTCAGGAAGAGGTAGTCATCTTTCATTTCTTGCTGTTCGTTAAAATTACACACACACATATATATATATATATATAGGAAAGAGATATTTTGACTCCAGAGTAAGATTTACAAGTCTTATTTTTCATTTTAACCATTGACTTCCGCTCATCTAATGGTTATAGTTTAGGAAATCATACTAAATTAATTAATTATTAATTACACTACAAATGACAACCGTTGATTTCCGTCCATCAACTGCTGAGATGGGGAGTAAGATTTCTAAGTCTTACTCTGAGTTCAAAAGAACCATTCTCATATATATATATATTTTAATCTTGCTTCCCACTTTCCCTTCATTCTTCAACTTATTTTAATTCTACTATATCTTCATTCTTCAACTTAAACTTAATATACAAAAATTTGCATTTCAGGTTCTGCACTTAAGACGACAGCTACACCTTCTCAAGAGATGTCAAGAGGGTAAGGTAGATGAGGATCTCGGTGCTCCTTTCTCTTAGTATCTCCCTCATTTTTAATCATCCATATCAAGGCTGAGTCTCTCTCTCTATTCCGGGGTCTCGTGACACTGTAAATTTATATTACAGAACTTGGAACGCCTTCAACTCGCTTTATGACACCTCAGGACGACAACCGATGTACTTACTGAAGATTGTTTTGTTTTAGTTTTTTGGATAATATGCGACTGAAGAAATTTTGTTGGCTCTTAATTGATAGAATGCTTATTTTTATTCATTTTCATATTCATTAGTCCTTTGACCTATCAGTCAAATTGTCTTGTTCTAGGAAGCAGCTATTATGTGCATGTTTGATTTTTATTCTCAAAAACAGTTTTTGAGTTTTTAAAACAAAAAAAGTAAAAAAGCCTGTTTGGAAATTGTTGTTTTGAAAATGATTCTCAAAATAATAATTGTTTTTTAGTTTTAAAAATTAAAAAAGCAGAACAACATGTGGATGTTGTCAAAAGTTGTTTTTATTTTTTTATTTTTGCAGTAGCAATTTTGTATATATAAGAATGCATTAATATCATATTTGTAAATAAATTTATTTTTTTAATTTTAAATTACTTTACACTTACAGCAGCAATCTTGTAATTATAAAATTTTATTAATGGCATTTTGGTAAATAATTATAACTTCTTTATAACTTTAAATTTAACTCCAGTTAAACAAGTTTTATTATTTTTTCTTATAAAGTCGATTTTCAAAATATATATTCAAAACAATTTTTGAAAACAAATAAAGTTCAATCAGATCCTAATTTTCTTTGCTCTTTTAAGTGACTTTCTATTCCCCCGTGATTTGCATAATTACCTCTATATTTATGGTTTATAAATACTGCTGTAGCAAATAATTCGAAATAGTTGGTGGTGTCAGTGGATAACATATTTTATTTTTGGATTATATAATTATCAAGTTACGAGAATAAAAAATTGAAGAGAGAGAAAAAAGAAGCAAGAAAAAGAGGGGAAAAAAAATCAATGAACCAATCCAATGTCTGCAGGAAATTTTCCTCATGACATAATAGTTGTGGGTTTTATAACCCTTTATTTTTACCATTTCTGCTGAGGGTTTAATGTGTGTATTTTTAAAAGATGTAAGTTGTGTTTTTTTAATTTTTTACTCTATGTATTTCGATAATACATAGTTATAATATAAAAAATTTACTTTCCATGTCAGTTGATGTGACTGAGAAGAGAAAAAAAGAGTAAAATTACATGTTATAATTATATACTACCTGAAATATATAAAGTAAAAAAAATTAAAAAACACAACTTATATTCTTTTAAAACACAAATAATTTTGCGTTCTGCTAAACCATTCAGAATTGGGGTTAGTATGAACTGTCCCGTGGAATTTTCGTACCTTAAGTTTTTCAATATAATTGCTTTATCGGAAAAGCGTTCGTTATTTTAAATAATATAAAGTTAGAGGTAGATTATACTTTCAATTTTTTTTTTACAACCATATCTTAACATCGTTGATTTCCGTCAATCAACACTTATGATTTTCGCAAATTAAATTCATTAATTAATTATTAATTCACAATAAATGATAACCGTTGATTGACGGAAATCAACGATGTTAAGATATGGTTGTAAGAGGTTATAAATAAAAAAGATTGTAAGTATAACCTTCCTCGTAAAGTTATGTCATTTTAAGAGAGAGATAGACACTAATATCACAAGTATTATATGTTCGATTGATCTCTTGTTGAATAATAATGTGTAATTTATTATTTTTTATATTAAAATATTTAGAATTGCTATTATTTTTTATATATATATTTAAAGGATTTGATGTTTGTCCACATAAGTTATGTCATTTTAAGAGAGAGATAGACACAGAATGAAAATCATGAGAGAGAAAGTGAGTGATTTTTTTTATTTAAATTTTAAATAAAAAATATTATTTTGTGTTTTTTTTGGTAATCAATTATTTTGTGTTTATCTCTCTCTTAAAATGACATAATTTTTTATCATTTAAAATGGCCAATACTTTCTCAATATTTAAAGTGAGGAAAGTTATATTTACACCTTATTTTTATTTACAAGTTGTTACAATTATATCTTAACAATTGATTTTCGCTAACTAATGGTTATAATTTTCGTAAATCAAATTTATTAATTATTTATTAATTCACAATAAATAATAATCATTGATTAACAAAAATTAATAATTGAGATATATTATAAAAAATTATAAATAAAAATAATTTGTAAGTATAACGTTGGGTTTTAATAACATTGTTAATAAGAACTCGGCAAAAAAATTAATTTATTGCTTTTTTAATAAAAAATTACGAATAAGTAGACGTTTTGAAATTAATTACGAAAATATAGCAGTCAAACACGCCCCATAGAGGCGTGACCGGTTGGAGAGAGATACGCCCAATGTTGGGCGTGACCTAAGCGTGACTCACGCCCACATGAGACGTGACCAAGTTGGAGAGAGACACGCCCAATGTTGGGCATGACCAAGGAGAGAGACACGTCCAATTAGGGGTGTAAATGGGCTGGGCTGGGCTGGGCTTTGGCCATCCTGGCCCAAGCCTACGTCAAAAAAAATTCAGCCTATCTGGCCTACTGGCCTATTAAAGGCTTTATTTGTAGGCCAAGCTCGGCCCATTTTCAAAAATAAGAAAGCCCGACATGGCCTACAGGCCTTGTAGGCCTCCCACTATATATACTAAGCAAAAAAAAATAATTGTATAGAGCAAAGAAAGCTCCATTCATGCATGCACTAATACTTCTCATAAGAAAAAAATGACAAACAAGAAAGAGTCAACATACTACCTCAGCTCTAGAATGTATATCATAGAGGAATAGAGTCAAAGAAATGGAAAAAATATGAAAAATACAATTACTGGATACTGAAATAAAGTCTACAAGAGAATGTCATTCATTTAAAAATCTTTAAATCACCATCAAGATAAGGGAAAGAAGAGTATTATTGAAAGATTTTCATCAGCAACATCATAATCCAGCAAGGTACCCATTGCTCTATGGTATTAAGCTGCAACAGCATGTAAAATTTGGAGACATTAGACAAGTTTTCCTTTCATAGAATAAAATAGCACAAAAAGTAAGAGATATTAGTATTTGGTACTTTGTGTCTTTGCCACATAAAATAAATGTTATTTTATTATTTTATTTTAATAAATTAAATAGGTCAGCCTACAAGGCTGTAGGCCGGGCTTGACAAAATTGGCCTATGGCCTATTTATTAAAAAATCTTTTTTATAAGCCTAAGCCTACTCTATTTTTCTGAAAGGTCGGGCCTGGGCTGGGCTCAATGTAGGCCGGGCCGTAGGCTGGGCTGGGCCAGCCTGGCCCATTTACACCCCTACGTCTAATGTTGGACGTGTTTCACCAGGTGCTGCCACGTGTCACAAAAGTCAATAATTTGACCGTAAAACTTTGGAAGTCCATAACTTTTGACTCGGGTATCCGAATTAGGTAATTTTTTTTATTCCACATAACTTTTCGAGATCTACGTAATAACACCTAATTTGACCTATTTTGTCTCTCACAAAAAAATTTGAATTTACAACAATGATACCATAATTATTAAAAATGACATGACTTTGTTACCTTATAAGTATTACTAAAAATAATCTAACATTTTTATAATCATGAACAAAAACTTAAAAATCAAAATAAAACGAAAAGCACTCACTTAAATTTTTAATATAAATTATTCGATATTCTGTCACCGACAGATGTTAACTTTTATTAATTATAAATTTCATAAAATTCTTCATTCAAAATTTTAATATATATCTCAATAACATACATAATTAACCTTATCATAACTTACCATAATCATAAGGATCTTTATTATGAATGTTTCTAATCACAACAGTGATTTTCTGTCCATTAATTTTTGTTTAAACGTTCTTATGGTATCATTATTGTAAATTCAATTTTTTTTGTGAGATACAAAATATGCCAAATGAGGTGTCATTACGTAGATCTCGAAAAGTTATGTGGATTCAAAAAAAAAAATTACCTAATTCGGATACCGAGTCAAAAGTTATGGACTTCCAAAGTTTTACGGTCAAACTATTGACTTCTGTGCCGCGTGGCAGCACCTGGTGAAACATGCCCAACATTGAGCGTGTCTCTCTTCTCGGTCACGCCCAACATTGGTGTGTCTCTCTCCAACCGGTCACGCCCCCATGAACGTGTTTAACTGTTATATTTTCGTAATTAATTTCAAAACGACTATTTATTCATAATTTTTTATTAAAAAAACAATAAATTAATTTTTTTAGCGTAAGAACTACCTTATTTAATGTTTTGGATTTGACAAAGTTTTTGTAAAAATCTGGCGTACAACGCAGGCTAGGGAGGTTTTAATGTTTTGTAGGGTTTGACGAGAACAAGAAATAGTAACAGTAACAGTAACAGTGGCAGAGGTTCTTCATTGCGTTGCATTGAATTTCATGGCAAGCCCAGGTGTATACCGCAGAGCCCTCCCATCTCCCCCTGCAATCGAATTCGCTTCGCCGGAAGGCAAGGTAAATAACAATAACACACTTTTCATCATTCCAAATATCTTGTTTTTGCTTCTGCTTCTGCTTTGTGTGTGTAAATGCAATACTCATGAATTGGATTTTTGTGCAGAAGATCTTTGCTGAAGCTCTTGGCCAAGGAACCATGGAGGGCTTCTTCAAGTTAATATCATACTACCAGACACAATCTGAACCTGCTTATTGTGGTCTCGCCACACTTACTGTGGTCCTCAATGCCCTTGCTATTGACCCTGGTAGGAAATGGAAAGGTATGCTTTCTTTCTTTCTTTTTTATGCCACCTTCCCCTTTTATTTTACCTTTTCATTTCTTGAAGCATTAAAGGGTAAGAGAAAAACTTACTTAACAGGCCCTTGGAGGTGGTTTGATGATTCCATGTTAGATTGCTGTGAGCCTTTGGCCAAAATTAAATCACATGGCATTACTTTTGGAAAAGTTGCATGCTTGGCTCGATGTAATGGAGCTAAAGTTGAAGCCTTTCGATCCGATGAAAGCACAGTCCATGATTTTCGCAACCGTGTGATTTCTTCTTGTTCTTCTGAGGATTTTCATGTGACTGTGTCTTACCACAGGAAAGCATTCAATCAGGTGTTGTAAAGGTCATTCCTGATTGTTATCTATTCATAACTAATGTAATAGCAGTGAATTTTCCTGCATATGCTTTCTTTTAGTTGACTTCAGTTCTCATTAAAGTCCACTTCAAGGCCTGTTTCAATTTTGAGTTTGATGAATTCAAGATTTAGGATCTTTTATATGTAAATTGTGAGAATGGATCCTCTTATGTTTTATTTAACATGACATGGTCATGTGGGATAATTATAACTATTTAAAGGTAAATAAATGGTGATGATTTTGTAACTACCTATTCCATTAATTTTTCTCTTTTTTCCCTTATCATCATTGATTTACCTTTGTATGTTTATGATTTTCGCACATTAAATAAAACATGAGAGGATCCACTTCCGTAAATTGTCGTGTAGGAAATGGAAAGCTAAGTAAGTTTATAGAAATGAAGGAAATTTGTCATATTGTTGGGTAACAGACTGGAAGCGGACATTTTTCACCACTCGGAGGATATCATGCTGAAAGGGATATGGTCCTCATATTGGATGTTGCTCGTTTCAAATATCCACCTCATTGGGTTCCCCTAACCCTTCTCTGGAATGCCATGAATACCATTGATGAAGCAACTGGACATCATAGGGGGTAAAAACTCTTAGATTGTAAATTAAAGCATAATAGTCAATAGTGTCTCTTGTACAATTTCGTCAAGACTACAGCCTTTACAGTTGTTATTTCATTCAAACATGTTGTGCTTTTCGTTTTGCCAAAACTAAACATTGTTATACCTTGTGTGAGTATTGAACAATGGCAATATTTTGCTAGTGATAAGATTTTCATCTTATGTGATGTTCTTTCTTTTATTTTAAGTTTATTAACTTTTCAAGATGGTAATTTTTCTTGGCATGTATGCTATGCTACAAAGAACTAAAATATTATCTATGCCCTTGTTTATTCACATTAAACAAAAGAAATCAGAAAAAAAAAAAAATCTCTGGAGAATTATTGTTGTTTAAGATTAACAAAGATCATATTTGTTGATTTTCAAGTTTTGGTGAATTAGTTTGATTCATCTATAAATGTACATCTTCTGAGTTCTTTTGTGGGGGGTTTCGGCGGTTGGGAGGGGAAGATAAGCTTCATTATAGTCATGTTATAGAACCAGTGAGGGAAAAGGGTGGATGTCAAAAATCTTTATCTCATATCATAAGCATAATGATTGCATGAGCTGAAATTTTGTTTATCTCTATATTCTGTCCACCATATTTGTCTGATTCATAGTTTTCTGCTGACATAATTTGGCTTATCTTTGATTGCTATTTGAAAATTCTACTATTTGATTGTATCAGTATCGTTAAATTCTTCTAATTGCTGGGATGAAAAGGTTATGAATTTATGAACTCTTTTTGTTTTTTTAAGCCTGTTCATCTAGTCTTGTCCTCCATTTACGTTTGGAAATTTGTATTTCAGGTACATGATTGTTTCAAGGTTTAATAGGGCGCCCTCAATACTTTATACTGTGGTACTGTACTACTGGTGTATTCTTTGTCGAACAATTGGAGAACATAGATAAAGGTTCTAAATTCCTGAATTTTAGATAGAAGGAAAAGTAATCTGACTCACTGTGAAAGTATCATGGTAAATTCAGCTAGAAGATAGTTTTTTCTCTTGAAAATATATTGGACAATAAGAAATCGTACCCCTCGATAGATCATGTTAAAGGTATGGAGTATCATTGGGAGGTCTGGGATCCTGACATATATTCTCTCTCTCTTTTTTCCCCTCGTAGGAACTGTCATGGTTGAACATTTGTATTATTTAAGTAAACCAGAACTTTTATATTTTGATTGTTTGTTTTGTTTATGCTTCATGCAAATCATTTGTCCTTGCAAATTTCAGTAAACACTTAATTTAAGACTATCTGCAGAGTTGTAGACATGAAGGTTGGAGCAGTGTTGCCAAATTTCTAGCTGAAGACGTCCCTCTCCTTATAAAGTCAGAGGATCTAAAAGAAATTCAGGAAGTACTCTCTGTTGTATTTAAATCTCCTCCTAGTGAATTAAGAGGGTTCATCACGTGGGTTGCTGAAGTTCGCAGGCAAGAAGATGGGAATCCCACATTGAGTGAGGAGGAGAGAGGAAGGCTAGCTATCAAGGTTTTGAAACTAGTTCCTTTTCCTTTTTGGGAAAAATCATTTCTCTCTTGAATTTGGTGAACGTGTCATTTGCATAATCAGAGACTTCATCTCAAAAAAAAAAAAATCCAGTAAATGAACAATCATAATCTTTGAGATTTTGAAATTTCAGGCAGAGGTACTTGAACAGATTCGGACAACTGCACTCTTCACACACGTGACCAGGTGGTTGGATTCGGAATGTTCTTGTTGCAATAGTATTTCAAAACTTGGTGACAAAGATATGTTACCAGCACTTGCTGCAAGTGTTTGTTGCCAAGGGGAAAATCTTTTGTCCGGTTATGGTAGGCTAGGTTTATCGGGTGGAAAATGCTGTAGTCAAATAGATGTGAAACATCTAAATGTTGATGGTGAAAATCCAGTAACATTGGTTTCTGGAACTGTTACAACTGGTGGCAGTAATGAACAAGGAGTTGATGTGTTGGTCCCTTTGTGTCAAAGGAAGCCTAATAGGTTGTGTCTTTCTAATGAAGGTCACTGCATTGGAATGCACCCATCTACTGCAGATGTCTTAACGGTGCTTTTATTGGCATTGCCCTTGCATACATGGTCAGGCATTAAAGAAGAAAAGCTGCGTGTGGAATTTACGAGCCTTCTAACAAATGAAAATCTCCCTCCCTTACTTCAGGAAGAGGTAACGTCCATTGCTTTAGAACATGTTTTCCAGTTTTTTTTTAATATAAAAATTGAAAAACTCCTAAAAAGAAACTCTTGATGAAAATATGAACCACAAAGGAACAATATGTGATGATTTTATGCAAAAACATTGCTATTATTCCTCCATGGTATATATTTTATTAGGACTTCATTTTTGGTAATTCTCCCTATAAAATTCTCATGTCTTAAACACCTTACATATTTGAAAATTTTATCCAAATTAATTTTAGTACACTAAGTTTAAAACTACATTTTAATTCCTCAAGTTTCAACCCCTTGAGGATTCAGAAATGCTGGAGTTGTTCATAATCTAGTTAAAATGTCATTGGAAAGGTCATTTACCACTTCTTTGATATATATATATATATATATATATATATATATATATATGGATTTAGTATTTGTCCAGTCACTTGATTGTCTTGTCAAGTAAAACGTTGTCGTTTTGGATATTTATTTTCCTTATTTAATTGATCGTACAAATTCTTTTATTTCTCTTCATTTATCATCATTGATCCACTTTTGTATGGTTATGATTCTGTGCATCTACTTGGTCAAGAGGTATCCAAAAAAGATACTTTTAGATACCTGGGATCCATTTTGCAAAAAGGCGGAGAGATTGATGAGGATGTAAATTATAGAATCAAAGCAGGGGTGGATGAAATGACGTAGTCCTTCTAGGTTTTTGTGTGACCGCAAAATTTTCCTTAAGCTAAAAGGAAAATTCTATAAAACAGCAGTAAGACCTACAATATTATATGGAGCTGAATGTTGGCTAGCACATAGGCAATATAAACATAAAATGGGAGTAACAGATATGAGGATGTTAAGGTGGATGTGTAGTTATACGATAATGGATAAGATAAGAAATGAAGATATTCAATGTAAGGTAGGAGTACTACCGGTGGCTGATAAGATGAGAGAACATAAGTTGAGGTGGTTTGAGCACCTAATGAGAAGGCCTCTGGATGTTCCCGTAAGAATAAAAGTTTGTTACCAAAAACTCGACAAAAAAAAAAGTAGAGGTAGACCGAAACTTACTTGGAGAAAGGTAGTAAAATAAGACTTAATGGAGTAGGATATAGATTGGCGAACGGTGTGCTTTAGGACGGAATGGAGAAAAACTATTAGCATGATGGAGGGTTAGACCCGTTGTTATTCCTATATTCCAGATGGTCCTTTTTTAGTCATTTTCCTCTTCATCTCCCCCTTTCTTCTTTTCCCCTTCTTTTCTTTTATCTCTTTTATCCTTTCCCATCTTTTTTTTTTTTTTACACCCCTTTTATTTTTTACTTTTATTACTTTTATATATATATATATATGGCAGGATATAGGGCTCGTTTGGATGAGCTTTTTTCTCTCCAAAATCTGCTTTTTTTAAAGAAAAAAAAGCACTTTTCACTTTAAGTTCGTTTGGATGTCTACTTTTAAAAAAACAGAAATCACAAAAAAAGTCAAAAATCTCCTTTTTTATAAGCTAAAAATTTGAACTTTTAAAAAAGGCAGAAGTCAAAAGCCAAATATTTTTTTCAAAAATTAAATATTTTTATAAAAATATAAATACCTTTAACTTTTGTAAAAAACACTTTTAAAATAAGGAAGAGATAAAAGATACTTTTTTTGGAAGGCGAAACAAACGGGTTCATACTTATCACCATAAAAGTTTACCATCCTTACAATCAACTTAATCACTGTTGATTTTCGTCAATCTAACGGTTATAAATTATTGGGAATTAATAATTAATTAATAAAAGCGACCCAATAATTTTCAATAAATTATAACCGTTAGATTGACGGATATCAATGGTGATTAGGTTGGTTGTAAGGATAGTAAACTTTTGTGGTGGTAAATATATCCTTCCCCTTATATATATGTATATTTTTTTTTTTATCCCTTTGTACCTTTCATTTGGGTTCATATACCACCGATCCCAATTAGTATGGAATAAAAGTGTTGTTGATGTTGATATTAATCCACCTTTGTATGGTTATGATACCCTGACTGCAACAGGAGATAAAGTTATTTCCTGTGATTCAAAATAATGTCATTTTAGGATTTAGAAAAAAAAATGTAGGGTATTTTAGTACTTAGCTATTTTCAGTGCCCTATTTTCTACTGTTTACAAGCAGAATTCATAATATATTTCCCTCAAAGTTACAGCTAATGCCAAGACCGCCACTAAACAAGAACTTGATGTAGTGGCTACGCTGATAATTTGGTGATACTTTCCAATCTTTCGTCTAACAGGTTTTGTTCCTGCGAGATCAACTCCATTTTATCATGACTGATATTGGTACCCCTTCTCACTTATGATACAATAAGATTACATTAGACACTGGTTTAGCATAATCTTTGTCATTGAGCTTGGGGTCAATACAGTATGTGCATTTCTGTGGCGTCATGTTGAACCGTCAGAAACCATGGTTCTACCTTTGTGCAAGGAATTTGGACTATATAAAGTAATTGTTTACAGATTGAAAGAATAACATGTGGATTGCATACTATGTTGTTGGAAGATGAGCTTAATCAATGAAATGTAGTGAAGGATTGAAGGACTTGGGCGATCTTGGGCCTTTTATACAATATTAAGAGTACACTCTTCTTCTTTGATGTTTCTCATTTGGATAATTCAACAGATTAATGTAATAAAAAATTTATCTGCTTGGTTTCCTTACCTGTATTGGTGATCTAATGATAATCAATGAATATTTTATTATGCATGGCTATATCATTTTGTATTGGTCCAACACCACATGATTCATTTCCTTCAACGACATGATCATTTTGTCAGCTATTACGTTGCAAGCTATGTTGAGGAACTAAGATGAATGTAATAATTCCTGAAAAGCCTATATTAACTCGTTCCTTTCAACGGCTATTATAATTCCATTGTTGTTGCATGCTATCTTATCTTAAAATATGGAATTCTGTGGCCAGCAATTTTTGTTCATAGAAGAAGCATGTGGTAGCAATATGCGGTAGAGGTTAGCAATTGGAGATAATTGAGCCTTGATTTACTTGTTTTTAGCCCACGTTTGTTTCATGAATTACAACCTCACTTCATGCAATGACCCCAGTCTAGATTATATATATATATATATATTTTTTGGTCGGCAGCTTTTGTTTTTAATATCTTAATAATGGGACATACTCAAAAGGGTCACTTATCTAAAGGTGTGGACCAGAAAATCAAAAGGGTCTCTTATTATCTAAAGGTGTGGACCAGAAAATGAAGGCGTAGGAGAGGTTAAGGGTTATGTCAGGATTAACTGAAGGACGAGTAATGAACTGGAATGATAAAAGTTGTTGTTTGGATTTTTCTGTTTCTCAAACATCGTTCGTCGATTGACATACCTACATAGAATTGCCAATTTTCTCTTCTTTTTTTAAAAAAAAAAAATTCACTTATTCGAGACTTACCCTCCTTTGGATAAATTGTAATTCATCTCTTTAAATATATGTTTTTTTAGTAAATTCATCACTTTAAATATTTATTTGTTTATGTGTATATACTGTAAGCCTTTTTTTTTTCCTTAAAAAAAAGGAACCAGAATAAGAGAATAAAACTACTTGGGTTGAATGACTTATCATATAGCAAAGTTGAATAAATATGAAAATTACTACCCAATACATTTTACCAATATGTTACCCAAAAAAAACTTTTGGTAATTTAATTGTATTTGTTTAGGTTTATCACTAAAATAAGTAAGGACGTATTTGTTTTTAAATTATTTTGTGCCACTTTATTAAATTAATGTGTGGATATACTCTTACTTTACAGGAGTTTTTCTGCATATTTTATATTATAAAATTAAAAATGCCAGTGATATTTTCCCCCTCTTTTTTCAAGACTTTCTCTGTGATTGGCTCAAATTCTATATAGACCTCTACAAGTTACTCAAACCTACTCTCTATGACTCTATTAACAGGGTCGGTTGAAATTTCACCTAATAATAATAATATTGAAAAGAATATCAAAGAGTATGTTATTAGTACTGATGTGGACTTGATTTACGTGAGGTGAGATGGAGACCCAATCTAATAAAGGCCCAAAGAGTTTAAGAACCACAAACTTAACTTGAAGGAATAAAATTCATCCTGCGCATAAATTGTAGGCATCTCGTCTACTTAGCGGACAAGCTAAAGGTAATTTAGTAATCAAGAAAATATCATTGTCGAGAACAGTAGCTCAAGACAACTTGACCTCCTCATGAACCCATTGAATGAAAGATAGCATCAGCTCTCGTCACTACATCTATTAGGACTAGCCTGAAAATAAGCTTCTAATATAAGGAATAGCCTGTGAAATGTCATCACACTCTGCCAATGAGAATTGACATTGCCTTATAAAAGGCAGCATGAGCAAGGCATACTCTTGCTATAAATATAGAGACATTCAGCCCATGTAAGATCATCAATCCTTGAATACTTAAACTATATTGAATATTGAACTGACTTCAATCATCTCGCCAAGCAACTTAACATCTCGACAACCTTGTCATCCACTTTTCTTTTTATTAACATCATTTACCTTCAACCGTACGAAATTAAGTCCAACACAATATCTTGTAATTATTATTTACCAATATCTGGTAGACTGATCAGTTACTTTTCAAACTTCAATTATTATTTATAAAGATAACTTGTGATTCATAAAGACCAGTAGTTTTACTTTCTTTTTTTAATATTAGTCTTTTGCTTTCTGATTTTTTTAGATGTATTTTGATGTAATATAAGAGAATTTTATATTACCTCTAATTATATATTATTATATCATTTGAACAATTTGACTTCTCATGAATTGTCGAATTCATTGAATGACGTGAGAATACATCATTAAATGGAAAATTAAAATTTCTGTGCGTTGCATTCAAATTAAATTATTCTTTGTATCATTCTCACTTTTTCTAATCATTAAAGATTAATTATTGTAATTGTAAAAATAAAAACAAATTGTGAAGCTTAAAAAAAAAACAGATTAGATTTTGTGGTATCTAGATTTTTTTAGCACATTTATTACCTTTCCAAACAATGAATTTCATCTCTCCCATTGTCACCTTTATTATCTTCATCTTCAAGCCTTCAACTAAAATGAAAAACTTTACATTTTCATAATGAATCAATTTATATGTTTTATTTAATTAAAAATATTCATTTTAAAATTTTAAAATATTATCTTTGTTTGAAATAATTAAAATGATAGTAGTTCTCAAATAAAATAATCAAATACCAACGTGTGTTGATAGAGGTAAAAAGGGTCAAGTTTTTAAATATAAAAAATTATATTCAAATTTAAAATTTATATGCATAAAAAATCAGGATCATCTTATTTTGAAATGATACAATTTTACATCCTTTAAAATGACACACACTTTATCCCTAACAAAATTCACTCCTTAAATTTTAGTGACGGTACGGCTCAGACAAAACTGAGCTATCGAAATGGCAATTTATGAGCTTAGCTGTTTCGGCCATTAGCCAACCGCTCCTACTGACAACGTATGGGTTTTCTTTTATATCCATTTTCTCACCTATTAAAGTATTTGTTTTAAAATAATTATCATTTTAAAATTTTCAATTTATTTATTATTTTAAAAAATTAAAAAATTATTAACTATATTACTTGTTCAAAAGATAGACAGAAATATAAAAAAAAAAATAGAATCCCCTTTAAAAACGTAATTTTTAAAATATTAAATAGTAATATATGAGAAAAATAAATCTTATGTTGTAGGAGAATTCTAATCTCATGTCATAGATACATCAAGTATGAGATCCACCTATTTAAAAAAAAAATAAAAAAAAAATGAATGGCACACTTTTTTATGGTGTGTGTAGAAAGAGTTTATTTTCTCATGCAACATGAGAAAAACAATCCCCTAATATATATAGATATACATGTATAGATCAACTTATATCCATATAAATATATACATTTAAGTCTTACATCTATGTTAATCTCACGTATATTTAAATGAATCTAATTTATTATTTGTATAAATGATATGTGTAAGGTTTATTATTTTTATATCAATATAAAAAGCTTAGAAGTTATATCCATATAACTATTTGAGTTTGAAAGTGAATATTGTATAGGTTTAATTTTTATTTTTGTTTTTGTTTTACTTTATACTTATTTAATTTCATAAATGAGAGGCGGTGAGGATCGAATTCGTGATCTTATGATTATTTAAGCTCTGATATCATATAAAGAATCAATTCAACTCAAAATTTTAATATGTTGGATAAATTTTTTTTAATGATTTATATTATTCTATGCAAATAATAACTTAAAATGTAACTTATATTTCACGTGAACCCATTAAGTTATTTGACTACGGTCCTGGTTGGGCATTTCTCCTGAACATTACTTTCGAAATTTAACAAGCGAAATCAACCACATTTTCCATGATCATCAAATTCAAGCCTCGTGAAGTGACCAGTTCCATGTTTGGATTTAGTGCAGGATGATGTGCTAGTCTTCATATGTCTTCTGTCTTCACTTCACTTCTGTGGGCTATATAGTTACCTGTACCACTTTCCTATCTAATAAGGACACAAACACAACACAACACAACTGGTCCCAAGGACTTTAATTGGCCAATCTAGTGCAGGTACTTTCTGATTCTGCTGCTTCTCATCTTATTTTTGCCTACAAAAAGGCATAGTTTGTAACAACTTGTGCATCACAGAAACATTACCAAAAAAAAAAAAATTATTATTTTTTTATAAAAATATCTTTCTGAATGCAGAGAGAAATGGAAGGGGGAGAGAGTTGTCATCCTTTGTTGAGAGGAGGTAACAGAAGAGAGAAAGGTTATAATCATGGGTTATCTTCAAGTCAGATTCAAGTATTGGCTGCCATATGTGAGACCCTTTTTCCTTCACTGCCATTGGACACCACCCTAAACAAGGGTACCCCAGAAGACCAAGCCTTTTCAGCTTTCTACACAGCCTCAGCTTCTCAGGTCCCATTTCCTGATGAGGTGATTTTTTCCTACATTATTTTTATACATTCTTTTTGTTTCTTTCTTCATTTTAAGGTTGACATATATAAAGTATTTATTTTGATCATTTGTATTTGATTATTCAATACTTCAATTCAGGCTGCAGAGCTCTTGTTCAAGAGGGCTGTGCCAGAAGCATTGTCTTTGGTGAATTGGGTTCTGAAGATTCTGTCTTTCAGAATGGGGACATTATTGCTTTGTGGAAGTATTTGCTTGAACAAGAAGTGGCCTTTCATTCACAAGTTCTCTGAGATTTCCTTGGAGAAGAGAGAAGAAGTTCTCAAGAAATGGTCGAGGGAAAAGAATTGGGTGCCTCTGCGAGTAGTGTTTGTGCTGATCAAACTTGTGTGCTTCTATAATTTCTTCTCAAGGGTAGTGCTTCTCTCTCACTCTCACTCATTTCATGCTAAAAAAAAACATTTTGATTTCATAATTACTTGAAAAACTGGTTTATTATAACATATTTGTCTATTTGACTACGAGATATTTTCAAAATTTATGATTCCCGTCTTGGTCTCAACTCTCAACCAATTATTAAAAACTGATGAACCGACAAGGTATTCATTCAGTCCTTATCACCTAGAAAACCGGTCAGCCAAACGCATCCAAATTTGTGAAATATTTATGTTACTACTAATAGAAATTGAGAAATAATCATGATGTTTATACACAAAAGAGAGAAAAGTGTCTATCAGATGCACATAAATATAGAAAATGATCTCCCAAATTTGATCAAAACGGTTAAGAGATTTTAGATAATGGGAAATTCAAACTTCATGTGTCATGTTGCAGAACCAACATACACATGAAAAGTGGATCCCGTATTTTTTTTTCTTTATTAATTTAAGTGGGCCCACATATTCCACATGACCCAAATTTCATCCTGTGACATTATGCTCCATTTGCCCTTAAGGTGGTGTTTGGTTGGAAGCTTTTTAGCGGATATCTATTTTTTTCAAGTATGGCTTTTAGAAACACCATGTTTGTTTTAACGTTTTTCACCAAAAACCCATCTATCCAATTTGTCTGGATTTATGAGAAACATAGATATCCGCACTGTTTAGAAACCCAATTTGAAGGTGAGAGATTTTTCGGAAAACCGGTTATCTGGCTTTTAATGCACTGTTGATTTCATAAAGTTACCTAATTTTCCCAGTAAAGTTTTTCCACTCCAAACAACTTTTTTTTACATTTTTCTACCTATCTCACTTTATCTATTTTTCCAATTATTTCTCTATCTATCTCATTTCCCTACTATTCCAAAAAAATTTCCTGAACCAAACGCCCCCTAAAGAATTAGCCTGTACTATGTCATTTCAGTTTTTGTTTTTATTTTTAGTGTACTTAACATTAAGAACGTTATATTTGGGATAAGTTATTCTACCTATCTTTTTTTGCCTACCACTCTAAAATATCATTAGATCAGAATCTAAAGAAGAGAGAGAAAAATAAATGTTAATTAAGATTCTGATCTAATAGTATTTTAGAGTGGTAGATAGAAAAAAGATAGGTAGAATAACCTATTCCATTATATTTATATTAATTTTGAACATGTTGTTATATGTTTTTTTTTTGGTAATTAATATGTTGTGATATTACTTGATAATGAATGTATTTTATTTATTATTATGTTAGCTTATTTAATATACTATATAAAATTTAAAAATATGTGTTTAATTATCACAAGCAGTGTTTTAAAACCCCGCCCCGCTCCGGGGGTTGACCCGGGTTAACCCTAACCCCTCTCATCTGGGTTGGAGTCACAAGTTGGACCTTATATGCGTATCGACCCCTCCGACTCCCAAAACCTGGCCGGGTTTCAGTGACTCCCGGGTCAGAGGGGTCAAAGGAGGGGTCACTGCATGTTTTTTTAATTTTTAAATTCCATGAAACAACATTGTTTTATTAAAAAAATAAAAATAAAAATGCTTGCAAACCTAAATCTAATCGTTCTCTTCTCTCTTAGCGACCTAGATGTTTTCAATCTTCATCTCGCTGTCGTGAATCTTCTAGAAAAGGTAAGAATTTTACCCATTCAAATGAAATCCTTACGGTCATCGATGGAAAACAAAAACTCATTCTTAATTCCTTTAAATTTTCCTGTCAGAGACCTTCTCAAAAGAGGCAAAACCGGGTCAGCGTAGTGACTCCATTAGAATATAAGTTTTGTACTTTGGTATCTTGATACTTTAGTTAGGTTGTGCAATATTGACTTGTGGTTGTAATTGGTGAATTATGTTAAGTATATTTTGAATCTTTGATGATTGGTGGTTTGTTTTTTAATATTTTCATATAAGATATATATATTTATATTTTTTTAATATATAAAACTGGGTCAGCATAGTAACCCCATGACCCCTGACCTCGGCCGGGTCGATAGCCGAGCCGGCTTTTTAAACACCGATCACAAGTTCGATCATGATAAAACTAGTGAACCTAGAATAGTATCTTCATTGGTTCAATGACTTGTCCAGCTTTAAAAACATTAGTATCAACATGTCAAACATCCATATTGAACTTCTTGCACATGTCATAACTAAATATCTTTCTAATCTAGTTTCTTTCTAAACATCCCTATACTATGCTCAATTAAGGAAGTCAACTATTTTGCTTCTTGTTTCTTTCTAATTTCCTTGCAATAATTAGCTTTTACCTTTCAACCTTTTTTCCCCCTTTCTCCAATTGCTGCAGACTGATGTAAATGGGCATAATCCTGCATGGAAAGCAATGGGGTACAAAGTGGACACAAGGGAAAAGTTAAAACGAAAGGAGAGGCCTCTTGAAGAGGGATTAATAGAGACTATGTACGAAACTGATTCTACTTTTGTCCAATCCCTCACTGAGAAAGGCCTTGAAGTCACTGAAGATGTAAAGCAGAACATGTACAAGGTCAAATGTGATGTTGTCATTGTCGGTTCTGGTTGTGGTGGAGGAGTTGCAGCTGCAGTACTTGCAAACTCTGGTCAGAAAGTAATAGTACTAGAGAAAGGAGAATATTTTGTTGCCAATGATTATTCTTCCCTTGAAGGTCCATCCATGACTGCGCAATATGAATCAGGTGGACTTATGCCAAGTCTTGATGGTAAGATGATGATCTTGGCTGGCTCAACAGTGGGTGGAGGCTCTGCTATAAACTGGTCTGCATGCATCAGAACACCTGATCCTGTTCTGAGGGAATGGTCTAAAAAATATAAAATCCCATTTTTTGGAAGCTCTAATTATCAATCAGCCATGGACTCAGTGTGCAGAAGGATTGGTGTGACAGAGAAATGCAAAAAGGAAAGCTTTCAAAATCAAATTCTTAGACAAGGATGCGAGAAAACTGGTTTAAAAGTTGAGTCAGTTGCAATAAATTCTTCAGCAGATCACTATTGTGGTTCATGCTGTTATGGTTGTAGAACAGGAGATAAAAAGGGCACTGACACCACTTGGTTGGTTGATGCTGTTGGAAATGGTGCAGTGATCCTCACTGGATGTAAAGCTGAGAAATTCATACTGGAAGATGGAAAGGATGGAATAAAGACAAAGAAATGTTCAGGAGTGATTGCTGCAGCAAGTTGGAGAAGCAAGGTGACAAAGAAACTCCAAATTGTATCCAAGGTAACTATTTCAGCATGTGGCTCTCTCTCCACGCCTCCTCTAATGATTTCTAGTGGACTGCAAAATCCAAACATTGGAAGGAACCTCCATCTCCACCCTGTTCAATTTGCTTGGGGGTACTTCCCAGAAGACATGATAAACTTTAGTGGTAATAACTATGAGGGGGGAATCATTACCTCAATCCACAAGGTATTAGCAGAGGATTCTAGCCCACGAGTCATTGTAGAAGCACCTGCTCTAGGACCTGCATCATTTTCAGCATTGATTCCCTGGATTTCAGGGCGTGATGTGAAAGATAGGATGGTGAAGTATGCAAGAACTGCTAACCTTTTTGCATTGGTAAGAGACCAGGGATCAGGAGAAGTAAGGGCTGAAGGAAGAGTTTCTTATAGACTTGACCAATTGGACAAAGAAAATCTACGAATTGGATTGAGGAAGGCCTTGAGGATTTTGGTTGCAGCAGGAGCTGTGGAAGTGGGGACTTACAGGAGTGATGGCCAAAGAATCAAATGTAAAGGGATAGAGGAGGAAGATTTAGAGGAGTTTCTAGACACTGCCACAATAGTTGGGGGTCCAAGGTCTAGGAATGAACTCTGGACCATATTTACTTCTGCACATCAGATGACAAGTTGTAGAATGGGTGCCACTGAAGAAGAAGGTGCACTTGATGAGAATGCAGAGAGTTGGGAAGCAAAAGGTTTGTATGTGTGTGATGGAAGCGTTTTACCCACTGCAGTTGGTGTCAACCCCATGGTTACCATCCAATCTACAGCATACTGTATTGCCAGTAAGATTGCAGAATCACTGAAGAAAGCAGAGAAGAGCTTGACTAATTAAGTTGTATTGTTTCAATGTAATAATTTCATCGAAAATGTTTATGTACTTTTATCTCTTTCGTATCATTTAAATTCAAGCATTTTATCCTCGTATTATTAGTGGAAACAAAATGAACTTCATGTAATCGTACGGGACCTTATTATATAATGTTACTATGAGTATTTATGGATTATATAAATTCCAAGTTCTATCAAAGAGCAAACGCACCATATCAGCATACAGCGAGAAAAGAAGGTAACATATCATGTCAGAGAGCTTCTTCGGTAACATATCAGCACTAACTTTATGTGTAACGTTATGACACGTTAAATTTGTAACATTAACTTTAAAATGAATTTAAACCTCGTGTATTACACTCCAAAAATACGGAATCTCTTGAGCTCCAGTCATATGGAGACCATAGAAACACTCCAGCACCTCAACACTTTCCATTATACAAAAGGAAGAAATGCAAATTGTAATGCAAGAGACTAACATAATATTAAACTACTAAACAAATATATTCAAAATTGGAAATAACAGTTCAAAGGCAATAGTTTTCGGCTCCTCAATGAGCCTACATAACCAACAGAAACTGTTTCCATGAAATTCGCAGTGAGAAAACTCAATCAGGAATAACCAGAAAGAAAAATGGTATCAGTACTAGGAATTCTAAGGGAGAAGCAAAATAATATTATGTTCATCAACACAAATGAACTACAACGTGAGAAGCACTTATTGAAAAGCTTTGATAACCTCTACAGCTTCAATAAGAACTTTTATTGCTTCAATTCCCTCCTCGTCATTATGAATTCTCGGATGAACCGCAGCGACAAAATAAGCTTAAAACAAAAAGAATAATGCTGTAACTAAACTGATTTGTAAAATTTGAAGAAAAGCAACCCTTCATTTGTAGGCTGCTTTCACTGCTTTCTGAGCGGCATCATCCAAATCTTCAGCTGTTATTAATGGCATATCACTTTCCTGTTCAACCAATTAATGATCATCAGCATATTAACCATCAAAAAAATTCTTTCTTCTTTTTCAATGGTATAGTTTGAAAAATCTAGCATTTCCCTTCAAAATTCTTTTTCCTTGATCCACATTGGTGCCTTCAAGACGAACTGCTACTGGTACTTTTAGTGCTACCTTGAAAACACAGTAAACAGAAGTTAATGCTATTATAAAACTAGAGTGTTGAATCCCTATTCAAATCTACAAACTTATACACTTTTTGGACGAGAAGATCAATGTGATATTGCAAAAGTTGTGAAGTTTAAAATAAAATTGCCTAAATTTCTACACATCAAGTTTTTTTTTTAGTATCAACTGCTTTATTTATATATATATATATATATATGAAAAAATATTTATCTATGTTATACGAGAAGTATTTTCTATGTTGCGACCCTTTGATTTGTGTGCAAAACTCTTTGGTCTTTTTTTTAATAAGTGTGAGCCCACCACTAATTGAGTCTAGGATTGGTAAAATGGGCCAACCGGACTCGACCTGGCCCAAATCGCGTGCAACCCGAAAAAACGAGTCAAGTTAAGGTTGACTCGAAAAATAAAACAAGCCAGAAAATACAACCCAACCCGACCGAGTCGGGTTAGGGTTTGCTCGCAGGTTGGCTCAAAAATATGGCTCGTGGGTTGGCTTGAAAAAATAGCTCGCGAGTTGGCTCGAAAATTGACTCGCGGGTTGGCTCGAAAATGCTCGCGGGTTGGCTCGAAAATGCTCGCGGGTTGGCTCATTTTCATCCTATTTAAATGAACCGATAGTATTAATGCACCAGCTATGTGGCTTTCATCAGCTTAACCAAAGAGTTACAGAATGAGAAGTAAATACAAAATGGTCTAGTTTCGAATTTTCTCCACAGCAAATTTGCATCAACATCGAGAGATATTTGAACCAAACAGAGCCAGCACAGCCTAACAATATAAAAATAGTAGCGTTGTGAGAAGATTAGGGACTTAGATTTAGAGAAGGAAGAAAGACGATGACAGCATGTGTGGATTTTGTCCATTTTTGTATATTATATTTTGTATTTTTTATAAAAAAAAAAAAAACTCAAACCACGAGCTAGCTCGTTTGACCCACGAGCTAACTCGTTTGACCCGCGGGTTGCCTCGTTTTTTCCCGGCTCATTTTTGTCAACCCAACCCGACTCATTTTTTGACGAGTTACGAGCCAACCCGACGGGTTGACTCATTTTTGCCAACCCTAGTTAAGTCACAACATATAAATTTATTTATCATGCAACATGAGAAAATCTCAGCCAATGTATATATATATATATATATATATATATATATATATATATATATATATATATATATAGAGAGAGAGAGAGAGAGAGAGAAAAAAAAAGTGTTTGTCATTTTAAATGATATAAAATTATGTCATTTCAAGATAGATAGACATAAAATAATATTTTTTTATTTAAAATTTAAATTAAAAAAAAACCATCACTTTCTCCTCTATGATTTTCATTCTTTGTGTTTATCTCTCTCTTAAAAGGGCAAACATCAAATCCATATATATATATTAGGGGAATGTTATATTTACAAACTTTTTGTTTACAAACTCTTACAAACTACACTAAATATGACCGGTCATACTTTATTCAAGAGTGTATGACCGGTCATACTTAGTGTAATTTATAAAAAAAAATTGTAAACGGATCATTCTCCTATATATATATATATATTGATATTGGGAGAGCATCCGTTTATAAATTTTTGCAAAATATATTATATACATAGTGTAGTTTATAAGAGTTTATAAATAAAAATTTATAAATATAGCCCGTCGACAATCCGCGTACAAGTTTACCAGTCCATCATATTTATGAAAACAGGTTAAAAATCTCAACCCACCTTGTTTATGGGATTGGTGAGTCACCCGCCTATCTGCTCCAGCCATCTCCTCTTGCCTCCTATGTCGTGGCCTCGATGTCACTACTACATTGTCGCCACTAAATCGAACACTCTATGATCTCTCCAAGAGACTTTGGATTCCACTTTGCCCTTTGGATGATGAACATTGAATAGGACGACGCAATTGGGGTGATTAATATTGTTGGAGTGAACCCTAATCTTGGTGGGATCAACGATGATGGGAAGATGGGTTTTGGTTGTGGTAATTGGAAAATTGGTGAGGAGGCTTTAAAAATCGTTATTCATGTGTTTGACGATAGAGAAAGTTCTAGCATGCCAAAAAGATGAACTTGATGCTCTGAGAAAAATTATGTGAAGTAGTATGACTCTTGAAGATTTCTTTACCATGGCTAAGATGAAAGATGGGCTCACATGTCTTTCTCGAGTGCAGGATCTAGTCTTTGTAATGCAGAAGGAGAAAGATTGTATGGTTAAAAATGCTAGTGACATAAGAGGCTTTTCTAGCAAGGAGTTATCTTTTGTTCTTCTGAAAATGTTGAGAGTTTTGGAAGGCAGTGGCAGGGAGTCATGTAGTTCCGATTTAAATCTACGCTTTATGATTTTACAATTTTTTTTTTAATTAAGATGATTTCATCAAGATTTTAAACGTTTTTACGTTTTTTATGATTTTTTACAATGATTTTTATGTTAAGATTTTATATTTTACAATTTTTTATTCTCTTTTCAATTTTAAGTAAAATTTCAATTTTAATTACCGTAGCACGGTGAGCCTTGAAAAGTAAATTTGGACCTTTCTTAACTAGTATTTAAAATTAAAAAAAATAAAATAAAAACTGACGGGTTCCGCAATAAATCCAACCTATTTAATCCACGAGCTAAAGGTTAAAATGGGTTGGTTGGTTAGGATATTCCACCCCCGGTGGCTTAAACGAGTCAATGTCAAACCTGTTTTGTGAGCTCAAAATATATTTATCCTTTAAATTTGTATATTCCAGACAAATGCATTAAAATATTTTAATACAAGTTTTTGTTTAACATAATGTATGATGCCTTTATTATGAGATAAAAGATGCAAATTGAGACTTCATATATATATATATATATATATATATATATATATTATGGATATGAATATCATATCTCAACTACCTACTAGAATATCTAGTGAGATATGGAATCAGCAACATCTCAACAACTCCAAACAACCAAAGGGCATAAGATAAGGATCACATCCCAACAGAAGGGGGTTGAATACTAGTACAATGGGAGAATTTCAAAAGGCTTAAGCCTAGGAAGATAATCCTATAAATAAGAGTCTAAAGACCCCAGGTAAACACTTTTAACCTATTTACTAATACTGCCCACACTGTGCACACACCCACCCCTTGGCTATAAGCTTATTGCTTGTGTGCAGTGATTGGAACCTCGACTATAAGCCTAGTATACACTTGATATACACTATCTCTGAGTGCATACCCTACGATATAGCAATACGATCTATCCAGGACCGAACAATATATATATATATATGTGTGTGTGTGTGGATTAAGTTTCTTCTTTCAAGGAGGTAAAATTATCTCCTGCAATTCCAAAATAATATCGTTTTGGAAAAATATAGGGTATTTAAGTAAAATTTAAGATACAAAGAAGACTTTAAAATTTTTAAAATACCCTTTATTTTTATCCAAAAGTCAAAAATAATTTGTTTTTGGCTTTCAGAAGATAACTTTATTTCATATCACAGAAGATACATTTTTCCTATAGTATGGAAAGATTTTAGGATGAAAGATCACGACGTCGCTATTAGGGACATAACATTTTTAATAAGGGCATACATGTTTCGTTGCTAATAGCGACACATAAACTCAGTCCTAATTAGGGTCAGGAAAATTTCGTGCTTAACAGGGACAAAAAATCCTATCCTTAATTTTATCCTTTTTAGGGACAGATTTCACCCTCCCTCAAACCCTTTTTGTAGGCAACATTAGGGGCAAAAGCTACATATTAGGAACGAAATTATTCTGTCACAAAAAAAGACTAAGATCATATTTTTGTCTCAAACCATTATCGAGGAGGGAGGAAAAAAATTCTGTCCCAAATTTGGTTAAGAGTTCTATTTTTTTTAGTAGTGTTAGCATTCATGTAATGTTCACGAGTTCACAAAGGCTTTTATGTTCAATGCTTCTTCTTTTTTGGGATAAACCACATGTATCCTCCATACCAAGCAATTTTGTTCGGTGCGGATCC